CCGTAGTTATGTCTATGAAATTAACAGGAACTGAACCCAACTCACTGTTCCATGGTCACACTTATTCTCATTTTATTGCTTTGATTTTGATTCCTCATTTTTGGGGTGTTTTTTCTGGAGATCACCCAAAGCAACCCTACTTTTTTGCACACAGTGCCCCTTTTATTCATAAGCACAGTAGTGTCTGCAGCAAACCATGACCTCAAAATCGTACGAATATGGTGATCTCCTCACACAAAAGTCTTAGGTAGGTAAGCAAACTACCTTTGCTTGATGACATCTTCACACGTGTGCCCTCATTTGCCTCTTGGGCTGCCTATGCAACATCAGTTACACTCACAGCCTGAATATCAGAAACAGGGGGAATATCAAGTGCAAAAGACCAATTCCATCAACCCAATTCCCTAGCATAGTGGTCCAAGGTAAAATAGCAATTCTGGAAGAAATTTGAGCAAATGGCTGGTGACAGGATGAGAAACCAGCCGCCATAATCGGTAGTTTATAAAGCTGAATTGACTGTTTCTCTGATCAAGTATGTCAGTTTACTAATTCCACCATCCCAGATGAATACAGCACAGGGGCCAATATAATACAGTTCTGTCCAATTTTTATTATTTAGGTCACTTGCCATGAAAATACTGATTGAACAACTGCTGTATTCAAAAAACCAAGCAAACCTCTCTCCATATTTGATCATAAAAACAAGTATCAGATTTTGAGCTTTGGGTAAACCGAGTTCCACAACAGAGGACGATTCATGATACTTTAACCGACCTCTCACTATTACCCCTTTTTAATTTGCATATGCCTGCTTACTTCTGTGCCTGAATACTCAATTCTGGGCCTTGATACTCATAGGCAGTTTCTAGCAAAACAACACCCTCTACTAAGAAATCTCTGAATACTGACTTCTCTTTTCCAGTATTATTGTGAAGACACAATGGAATAACAGCAAAAAAAAAAAAAAAAGTGAGCAAGGATTCTTTCCACTAATTACGAATCAAAGACCAACTTAGCAGCCAGCAATATCCTCATAATGGCTGCATTTAAAACAATCCATTAACTCAACTACAGCTGCCTTTCCAAAAGTAGAATCCAAAACGTCCATGGAAAACATGTTTGTTTATTCTTATTATTTTTTTTTGGATATATCTCAAGACAGCAGGAAACTCTCTTGAGTGGGGAGAAAGATTTAACTGTGGTCATGAAAACATATTCGGCCAATGGAGCACATCAAAGCCTGCTGAAATATTGCTCTGCAGAGCAAGAATCAGCAAAAGGGATAGTGCTTGGATGTTCATGACTTTTTCTCTCGGCACTGGTGTAATTTTTGTTGTGCTGACCTGGGCTGTGTTCCAGCATCCATGGCAAGTAGTAAGGCACACTCAGTGCTTTCAAACGAAACATCACAAAATTAGAATGAGCAGGGAATGTGGCTAACAAAAGCAACTTTGTGAAAGTGAGGAACCAATCCAAACACTGCCAAACTTCTGTTTTGCCTCTCTGAAGTTTCTTCTGGCTGCTTGCACTCCTCAACCAGAAAGCTGATGTCCTTCCAAAATCCTTCTTCTTTACACAGTTACAGCTACCTTCAGTACTCTTCCATTTCTGTTCCTTGCTATTTTGATCTAGAATCTGAAATAGGATGTTAACATTTCTTTGGTTATGACACAGTTCCCTGTTATGCATACACATATATAAATGCCTATCAAAGTTTCCAAAATTATTTTTTCTTTCTTCGTTGGACTTATATCCCATCTTTCGTACAAGTGGCAATCCCAGCACTCCCTCCAGCTATTTTCCCCCAAAACAACTCTATGAGGTAGGCTTGGCTGAGAAAGAATGGATGGTCCAAAGTCAACCAGGGAGCTTCCTAAGCTAAAGGTGGACTAGAACCTGTTTTTTCATTATAGGAAATACTGTAAGGGTGGGACAATCCAGAATTATATAGTTTATCTTGAAAAACCAACCAACCAACCAACCAACCAACCAACCAACCAACCAACCAACCTTTTACACTGACAGCTTTAAAATGATAAAACAATAAATTTTACAATTGCACCTTTAGAATCATTGAATGAACAGAATCATAAAATATTAATAAGGGAAATTGTAAGTGCAACTTTATTATTTTCTTTGCAATTACTTAAGTATCTTCATTTATTCTCTTGCCACGTTTATGTTTAATGATGCAATGCTAGGGTCCCCCCTGCCCAGAATATATCCTAATTTGGGGGGGGGGACAGCTTTCACACCTTTGGATAAGCAAAGCTTCCAATGCATGAAGAAATATCAGATTCAGATGACTGGAAAAATGCAATAACTGAAATTAATGTAATGGAATTTCAACTATATAACTTCCAATGACCTTTAACAACCTTCTACTTAAGAACAAGGATATCCTGCTCCCACCCCAAGCAACAGCTTAAAATTAGTATAGACTGTGTCAGCTACTTCATAAAGGAAATGGGATTAATGGCAAGATTACAGAGAGAATATCAATTTGATTGTATCAGCCCTGCATTCAAATTACCATTAAAAATATGCTTGAACTGTATAGTGGGATATGGTAAAAATACTATAATTCAAGCATTACGATTCTTTAAGCCTTACAGATTCCAGCAGAGTAGACTTGGTTAGCTCTTTCACTGTAATCAGCAGGAATCTGAATTTTTAAATTATGGATATGCTTCCACTACTCTGCACTCCAGGAGCAGCAGCAGGAGGGGGAAAAACTAAAGCCTTTCAACTTTGCATGTTGTACCCTATTACATAGAGTACAACGTAAGTGTTGACTGGCTTTGTACAACATTTATTAATTATTTGACTTGGATGCCACCAAATCTTCCCAGACTCTTGGTCGCTTACAACCATATAACGAAAAAAAACACCTTTATTATAACATGCAGCAATCATTCCATCACAGGAAAAATAGGAGAATATAACTATCAATGGCATACTCCATCAATTTCAAATTGCCTTCTGAATGTTAAACCGTGATGTAATTTGCTTGTTTGTGGCTTATCAAATTATGAGTATCCAAACATTGTGTTTTCTATATCATGGCATAAGGTTTAATCACCTAATGTGAATCTCATAATGTATTTAGTAAGCCACAGTTAATGAATAAATACAACCATTATAGTTAAAAATATAATATTCTGGCAGAAACTGTCCAGAAAGCACAGCTACTTGTGAATTAGTATCTATGCTAGCCAATTATGCTAAACATGTATCCTATTTCTACCTTCTCCAACTTGAGCTACCCCTAGGTGTGTGGATTTCAGCCCTGAATTCTTCAAATGTAGTTCTAATTTTGGCCCACATATCTGGAGACCTATTTTGTACCTAATCTTGATTAATTTTGTACCCAATCTTGGCTAACTTTGCACCTTTTAATAAAATGCACATATTACCTTATGTTTTCACACGCATCATGATTCACAGTGCTGTACCCTTCCCCATTCAAAGCAAGTTCTGGGCAAAGAAATTACACTCTAGAAATTACAGAAACTTCCAAATTTATACTGCTACCTGGCATGACAGCTGTTAACTTGAAATGTAACCTTAATAGTTCTTGGGCACACAGAAGGAACCATGTCCCAGACAAATCAAAACAGCACATCTGACTTTTTTTCTAATAATTTTTCTGATTATTCTAAATTATTTTGAATAATTTATTTGAAATGTAAAAGTATAATACAAAGCAAACAAAAGGCCCAAGAAGAAGGAACTTAACACTCAACTTTTAAAAAAAGTTTGCAAAGACCAATTCAGTTTTGCAAACAATTTGGTTAGTTGTCTAAACCCAGGTTACCAGAATAAAATTCAAGCTGTTAACTTAGAAGTTTACTAGAACTTAGCAGAACAAAAAATACACAGTTGCACATATGGAAATCAAGGCAACATGTGCAAATAAGTAAGACAGGGGGAGAAAGAGGCTTGTGACATCTGAAAACCAAATGATAAGAGGACAGGTCTAATCAGAACACAAGACCTAAGTGGTCTAGTGAAGGAAAGCTAGATGTCACAACAATTTTAGTTTTTAAAGTGCCTAAGACTATGTTTCTTACAACATATTACTGTAGTATATTACTTCTCTGGAATTAATCTCTATTGGTTAATCTAGTATTTTCAGTAGTGGTGGCAAAGTTGGACAAAACTGTTAAAGCTTCTGAGCAAGTCAGCAAGTCTAGAGCGAAGAAGAAAAACAGCACACATAAACAGCAAAGTTTTAAATCCAGAATGGCTTTATGTACCAGCTCAAAAAACAGAGCCTACAGTATTACCCTTTTTAAAGAAAATCCTTTTGGCCTGTTAAACAGACCACTACAAGCACAATGCTCTCTACTACTGAACTGCACACGTGCACACACCTCTCCCCACTTCTATCGCCTCCAAACCAGCTCGCTCCACGTCTAGGGAAACAGGCTAATCATTAGCTGAGGAATCCTGCTTGCTTTCTATCTCCTGCTCTGGTTCACTGCACGTTCAGGACATAAAAAGACCACAAATGCGAGGCTGGGTTCAGAATGAGTCCGCCTTGGGTGAATCAACCGACTGAGCTCCGTGGGAGTTGCGTTCACCACGCCGCACGGAAATCCCGAATAATGCAACGGGCCTGCTTCTGGAGCGAGCCAACCGCGAGGGTTTATCACCCAGTAAAGCGATTTGGAGAAAGTGGAAAAGCGCAGGGAGACCAGAAACACGTGGCGACTCTCGGCCTAGCTTTGTTATTAATAAACCGAAGAAGGGCGGCAGGCTGAAGTCCCCAAAGCCAGCTGGTAAACAACCTAAGCGCGCGAGCCATTTCCACGCGGGAACCGGGAGGTTGGGGCCAGGGCGGCGCGGCTCCCCGGGGCCGTCTCCTCGGGGGAGTTCCCGTCCGTCTCCTTCCCTCGCCCGCGGCCACGGTCCCTCCCTCCTTCCGTCCCGCTCCTCCCTTCCTATTGTGCAACAGCCACGGCGCCTCGAGGCTCCAGGGCCTTGTTTACAAATACCTCGCCGCCAGCCCGCACCACAGGCGAGGCCTAGGCGACGACCTGCCCATGTGGATCCAGCCCGCTTCCCTCCTGCAGAGCCAGGTCCCCACGGGTCCGTGCCCACGTCCTCCTTCCCGGGCTCCGCGTGCGGACCAAGCGGGTCCCCCCTCCAGCCGCCGCAGGGAGAGGCGGCTTTCCGCGCAAAGCTCCCGCTGGAAGGCAGGAGGCGCAAGGCGCGCCAGCGCGCGTCTCGCTTCCGGAGGGCAACTTCGGACTCTCCGCCGGGCCCTCGGGGAAAGCCAAAGCGCCCGGC